ATTCATGAACATATAATATCATTCATTCACACGCATATAAAAAATAAGAAGATAAAAAATAATGCATGTAATTTCAAGATAAATTTCACAATTCTTAAAATAATAATGACATAAATTTCCTTTGCTGGGTTGTGTCACATTTCAATAAACTTCAGCTCACTGTTATCTTGTCTTCCTTATGCTTATACTCTTTTACTTTTTTGTTTATCTAATAGGTAAATTACTATATAATTTATCTGAAGATAGAACAATCAGCCCTTAATAATGTAAATATGTATGATATTGAGATAGCATAAATTATTGTACACGTCTACTGCTGTCATCATCATAATAGTCTCATTTGGGTTAGTATAATTTCTATAAAAAAAGAAGAAAGACAAGATGTTAGTATATATAGTTAAAAAATAAAACAAAATTGATACTGATATATTAGGATGTTAATTTCTATATGTGTAAATAAGGATAATTAATTAACATAATAATCAAGGAATATTTTACACAGAAATGTAACGGGTTACATAAATTTATTATACAAGGAATATTTTACACAATATTTTATATACAAGGAATATTTTACACAGAAATAAACTATATCCTATTTATTATATATTACAAAGTGCATAATGTATAAAAATAAAATACAAATTACCAATAGGTTTCGATATACACAAACAATATTTATTTATTATCAACAATATTATTATTCGTATAGTTTGTATAATATATAATAATATACTCTATTGTTATAAACATAAGATTTAAAATGTAAAACATTGATATTAAAAGACAAACTATGCTAATAATGTTAATAAATATATATGTTCTTACCATCTTCCAGTTTTCACTAGTCTGTTTTGGGTCTATTATAACTCTTTTCCATGGTGAGAAAAAATATGTATATATTTGTCTATATATATTTTGAGATTGTACAACTGACTTTTTAGCTTCATTTATCGATATATCCATTTTCCTTGGATATTCCACTGTAGTTTGTGAAATATTTGTATTATCACAAAGTACCATGCCCTTTGTAGATTCATGTCGTTGATCTAGATATGAATGTTTTATAATTTTACAAACTGATATATATAACTGATATATATATATATAGTTTTTTCAAGTTAATATAATTTTCTTATTACCACTGTTAGTATCAGGATCTTTTCCAAATGTACAATGTGTAGTACTAATGCCCCAACCTATTTTAATATTCTCTTTATTTTCAATTCTAACATTGGAGAAATTTGCAGCAATAGATTCAACAATAGGTACACTACATTGGTTGGGGCACTCTAACTCCTATTTATCTGTTTCGAGTTTATGTTTAACATTGGATTTTATAATATTATAATGACCTGCTTGAATCATTTCTTCCTCCCATTTTTGCATTTCAATCTTATATTTTTTTAATAAATCACTTGCTTCTGCATTATATTTACTTTTATTTACCATCGTCATATTTTTCCATTCATTAGTTATATTATTTAGCCAATCCTAGAAATATAAAAAGAAAAAAACTTTATTCTAATAAAAACTTAATAGTAATAGCAAACTTTTATGCAAAAATAATAAAAAACTCTTGAATATTTTATTAGATTCATATTTTTATATACAAAGAAAAAAACTATGCAAAAAAGGAAATGTTTCTAAATAATTTATATTAAAATAAGGTACACCCAATCTAAGAAATTATATAGTTAACTTACTTTATATGATTCGTGTGGGTTTTTGGTATTCTTTTTACTTTGCATGAATAATATGAAGGCAGATAATGGCCTTTTTGGCTTTCCAAGGTCCATAAGTTTCTATCAGAAAGATAAAAGAAGAATTATTGTTTAGAAATTTTAGTATATATACAATACATGCAAAATAATTAATGTCAATACTTGTTTAATTTCATTCTGCTTCAAAGTATGTCCTTTTTTCAATGATTTTATTTCCATCTTCTGTTCATTAGTTAAAGAATTTTCATAATCCATTAATTTTTGTTTATATATAGAAATTTGTTCATGAAATTGTTTCTGCAAATTTTGCTTTATTGTTGGGTCAATTTGTACCCATTTCTCTGATGCTATTTTCGAAAGTTCAGTTGGTTTGTAATGAGGATATTCTTTTTGCAATTTGTCCCTTATAGAGTTGTAATATAAGATAAATGCGCTTGGTGGCTTCTTTGGCTTTGGTGGGATAGAATCTTTTTTTACATTCTGTTTTGATTTAAGTATAGTAAAGTCTTGTGCAGAAGCAAATTTCCTAATAACAAAATTTAATAATTCATTCTTTTCAACATCAATTTTTTAATTTATTTATTTATATCTATGATAACTTAAAAAATAAAAAATATGTATTATTATACAAATATTTTAGTTGTCATTTTAACCTATTCTTTTACACATATTAATTAAAATGTATTAGAGAATAATTGTAACACAACAGAGAAAGCAAAATTATGTGATAATCTCCATATAACAGTAAATTGCTACAATAATTTCGACACTGCCGAAATGCTTGGTCTCATTTCATATTACATGTTTCATTAACATTTAAAAACTATTATTCAGATTTAAATAATCAATTGCAGAAAAGTAAAATAATATTCTTTACCTAGTGCAAAAGAAATTTAGCGGATTAAACTGTTTCCGATTAATCGGAGACAGTAATCTCCAGGTTGCCGTAATCATGGTACACGTGATTTTGATATTACAATCAATCTGATATTACAATCAATCTGAAACAATCTTGAATAACTCTTCTACAGATGTTTAATATTTTGATAAGAAATAGATAAGAAATGCTTATAGAATAACGAGACGCAACATTCAAATCGAAACAAATCGTATTAAGGTTAAAACTGCTTATAAAGTTGTCTCTTTATGCTCACGCTCGACGCTCATTTTCGGCGTTAAAATAAGCACGTAATAGAATTTGGCGAATATCAAGTTAATATTGATCACGTGATCTAATTTGACAATGAAAATGAGCGTTGAGCGTCAGCATGAAAGGCACCTTAAAGGTCGTCTCATGGATACGGAAAACGAAATCGAAATCATGAAATAGTAAAGGTGCTTTTCCATGCCGACCATGGTGGAAGGGATAAATGCAGTTGGACGGTCTCTAAAGCGGCGAGTACAGACTCTTGCAACGTATAACACGTAAAGCCAGTTCTACATTAGATACAAGCTGATTGCAAGTTCATTGCGATAGCCAATATGAGGCATTAATTTCAAAATGCAAGTTTCAGATTGGTTGCTGTCGCAACAAACTTGCGATTAGTTTGCAACTAATATAGAACCGGCTTAATGGCTCCTGCATACAGAACGCAGCAATGCTTGCCACGCGACGAAAGTTGACGCAATAATTGCGCAATAAATACTAATCAATAATTTTACGTTCTTAAATTGACCTCACATGCTTCGCCACATGCAAAATTTCTAAAAATGATATAATATTATTTCCGTCATGCGGCTAAAGTTGAATTGAATTCAACTTTTGTCGTATGGTGAAAATTATATATCTATTACTTCCGAGCGAGACGCTGATTGACGTACCGACTTCCGCGGCGCGACAAACGTTGCCGCGTTCTGTGTGCGAGAGCCATAATAGTTCCCGCACATTGGACGCGAAAATGCTTGCCGCGCAGCGGAAGCATTTTCAGAATGAGACGCGATAATGAACACATTAGGATGTAAGCTTATTGGCTAGCGCATCACATTTTGCTGCGCGATAAGCGTCTAGCGTGCAGAAGCCATAAGAAATACTACCAATCGTTTTTCTTTTTCATGAAATAAAGAAGTCTGATTGGTTCAATTTCATATGCTTCATGTGTTATGCGTTATACAAGAGTCTGTGCTCTTTACTTTAACCTACTGATGTAAATTAGACTATAGGGTGTAGCCATATTAGCCTTGAGTTTTGATTATCGGTCATTGTCGGTTAGAGTATAAAGAGCTTGTGAATTGTTACGTGAAAATTCTAACAAAATATATATTAATTCTTTATCTTTAACTTTATTATTATGTACTATTATTATATACTATATTTATATACTATATATATTATTAT